TCCCTGCTCCTGGAAGAGCAGTTAGCACTGTTGACCCATCTCTTCAGTTGCTTGGGCCTCTTTTGTGATAAAACTCAAGCCACAGATCTGTGCTTCATAGCAGGGGTTAATAACAAAGGCAGAAATCAGATGATCTGACATTTAAAAGCTCAGCTCCATTAAGTCAGCAAGCAGTTGAAGGGCATCAGCTGAGTCGGTCTCATCCCACAGGAAAGAACCAGGACCAGCAAGAAAATCACCAGGAACAGAGCAGACCAAGACTTTTCTCTGTTTGCTTTGCAGATATAAGTTAACTAGTCTTGTGGCACCACAACAAAAATAATCTCAACACCTGGGAGGTCGAGGAAGAATAGGTCAAGGCCAGACACACGCGCGCGCGTGCGCACACACACACACACACACAAACCTCATCCCAGTTTTCAGAAGGCTGAAGCAGAAGGAGTGTGAAGCCAGTCTGTGCTCTTACTACAGAGGGGTGCTGCCACAGCTGGATGGTATAATTCATCCTATTTTTAAGATTCCTTTTTATTTTTAGTTATGTATATGTGCATGTAAATGCAGGTGCCCTTAGAGGCTAGAGGTGTCAGATTCACTTGGAATTGGAGTCACAGGCAATTGTGAGCTAGCCAATGTGGGTTCTGGGAATTAAACTTGGGACCTTTGCTAGGGTAGCACCTGCTCTTAACCCCTGAGCCATTTCTCCAACCTAAGTTTCTTTCTTTGATACAGGATCTTTCTTTGTTTGCTTTTTGGTGTTTTCTTGTTTGTTTTTCTTTTCTTTTCAAGACAGGTCACTCTGGGGAGCCCTGGCTGCCCTGGATCTCAGTATATAGAGCAGGCTGACTTCTAACTTACAGATCCACCTGCCTGTGCATCCCCTATGCTAAGATCAAGGGTGTGCACCACCATGTCAAGCTCCTAATTTTCTTTCTTAAATGATGTAGGATACTGTTAGTCTTTCAGTTACTGTGAATAGATACCATAACCACAGCCCCTCTTATAAGGGAAATCATTTAATTGGGGTGGCTGGCTTAGTTTCAGAGGTTCAGTCCATTATTATGGTGGGACATGGTGGCATGCAGGCAGACATGCAGGAGGAGCTGAGAACTCTACATCTTTGATCTAAAGGCAACAGGAAGTGAACTGAGACACTGGGTATGGCCCTCAAAGTCTACCTTCACAGTGACACACTTCATCCAACAAGGTCACATCTACTTCAACAAAGCCACACCTCCAAATAATGCCATTCCCTATGAGCTTATGGGAGCCAATTACATTCAAACCACCACAGATACTATTTCCTATGTTTGAAGTACGTTTGCACTTTTATTTTATTTTATTTGTATGGATGATTTACCTTCATGTATGTTTCTGCATAAAGTATGTACAGTATCTGCAGAGGCCAGAAGAGGGTGTCATTTCCCCTGGAGCTGGAGTGACAGACAATTGTGAGCTGCTATGTGGGTGCCAGGAATAGAACTCATTTCCTCTGGAAGTGTTCTTAACCCTGAGTCATCTCTCAGTCGACATCTGCATCTTTAAAAAATATATTGACACTTTGTTCATTTTCATTTTGGAGAAAAAATTAACATGAAGTGATTCACAAACTTGTGCAAGAAAATACGAGTAATCAATCCAAAGCTGGCTAGGTGTGTAGGTGAGGGACGATTCCAGCACTCAGGTGGCTGGGACTGGCAGATCAAGAGTTGGAGGTCAACCTGGGGTCATATAGCGAGGCTCTATCCCTAAAAACCAAAACTGAAAAAGAAAGGGGAAAAAATGAACAGTCACATCTCTGCTACATGATCTATCTGTGCCTCTCAGCTATGAAGTCCTTATTTTGGGCTGGTCTTTTAAAAAATGGTTTTGGGGGAATCACTGCCAAATCTCACCACCTGAGTTTGAGTCCTGAGATCACAAAGCAGAAGGAAAGGACAGCCCCCAACCCCAGAAGGAGATGGAGGGGGAGAGGGAGGGAGAGGGGAGGGGAAAAGAGAGAATAAATAAATAAAAAATGGCTCTGGACTCTTTTTCCTTTGCTGCTAGTGTGACACTTTGCCAGTAGAGGGCAGAGATGAGACACTTCAAGAGCAAATGGGACTGGCTCCCTGCTTCTCCCAACTTGTGAAATGCACCAGGCTTCACAGCTGAGACCTATGTCAGGGACTCGCCTCTCCCTGGGCACTGGGTAGGTGGTGAGCCCTGGCAAAACACTGTTGGAACTGATGTGGTGATGCCTACCTGCAATGTAGTACTCAAGAGGCTGAGTAGGAAGATTACAAGTTACATAGCAAGGGGCAGACAGACAGACAGACAGACAGAGGTACGATGTCCCATTGGGCTGGAGATGTAGCTCATTGGTAGAGCATTTGCCTTGAGTTCTAGTAACCCACCCACCACCAAGTCTGTTACAGTCCTTAAGAGCTCACTGTAAATATTCCTCATGTTCATGTTTCTCTAGATAAACAAAAATGTTGGTGGGTGGAGCAACTTGCCTCCTTAATTGGCAGCTGTTGATATCTCCCTGGCTACCCAGGCCAGCTTCAGCAAAAGGCCTGTCACTCAAACAGTTAGTGCTCTTATACCACTGAAGCCTAAAGACAGCGACATGACCATCTTCACAGCTAATAGTCCCGGCTCCCCAAGGTACAGCTGTTGCAGACACAGCTACAGATGACTTTTTGTTTGTTTCTTTGAGATAGAGCGTCTCTACATATTCCTGGCTGTCTTGGAACTCACAGAGATCAGTCTGCCTCTGTCTTGAATGCTGAGATTAAAGGTGTGTGTTAACATGCCTGGGCTTGTAGCTGTTTTTTGTTTTTGTTTTATTTTTTGAGGCAGGTCTTCCTCTGTAGCTCAGGCTTGCTTGTAACTCACCATGTAGCCAGTGCTGGCCTTAAATCTGTAATGATCCTCCTGTCTCTGTTTCTTAGGCTCTAGGATTGCAGGCATGAGTCACCATGCCTGACTTTTGTTTGCTTGTTTTTGAGATCAGGTCTGGCTTGAAGCTTGATATGTGGACAGCCAGGACATGAACTTGCAGTGATTTTCCTGCTTCAGATCCTGGACTAATAGCTGTTAACATTGGCCAGACTTGACCACTAAGGACTCCCCAAACATGGGCCTAAATGGAAGCTGTAATGACAGCCACAGTTGAGTTTCCTAGACTCACAAGAGCTGTAGTGCTTGTAGGGTTAAGGCTCTGGATCCTGAGTCTATGCAGGAACTGCAGGTCTATAGGGCATCACTTGCTGCTATGCCCTCCTGCTCAACTGCTACAAAGCACAGAGGGAAACAAAAGCTGCCAGAGCTTGAAACCCATAGAACTTCTTTGCTTTCTATCCTGGTAGAGCACAAGGAGCACAACTGATTGACACCAGTGTAGCAGCTGCAGCAGTCAGCAGCTCCTGGCCACCCAATCCCTGGGCAGGTTTGTAGAATGCTTCTTCTGAGATCCTCCTTGTGAAGAGCTCTCTCTGGTACCCTGAAAGGTTACTGTCAAGGTCTACAGAGTCTATACTTCCAGAAAGTTCTATGGCTGGAGCCCCAGAGGGTATGCAGTTTCTCCAAGGTCTGGATTTCAGGTTTAGGTAGAAGGGGTAGCAGCTGTTCCTTATTTTTTTTTTCTGTTCTTTTTTACCTTTACCTGTTTGTTTATTGTGTGTGTGTGTAGGTCAGAGGACAACTTGCAAAAGTCAGTTCTCTCTTACCATGAGGGTCCTAAGGATGGAACTCATATGTGTAGTAAGCACTCATCTGCTGAACCATCTCCTAAGTCCTTTTAGAGTCTCCTTTCTGGCATTTTTTTTTTTTTTTTGGATTTTTGAGGCAGGGTTTCTCCGAGGCTTTTGGAGGCTGTCCTGGAACTAGCTCTTGTAGAGGAGGCTGGCCTCGAACTCATAGAGATCCACCTGCCTCTGCCTCCCGAGTGCTGGGATTAAAGGCGTGCGCCACCAACTCCCGGCCCTTTCTGGAATTTTGAAATAGGGTCTCCCTACAAATCTCAAGCCGACTTCAATTCAAGATCCTCCTGCCTCGGCTTTCCTAGTATTGGGATTACAGGTAGCTACCAACCCCCAGTTTTGTATTACATTCTTTAGAAAAAAATTCTTTTAAAACTTTGAGAAGCAGCAGGGTGGTGGTGGTGCACGCCTTTAATCCTGGCACTTTGGAGGCCGATTCAGGCAGGCGGATCTCTGTGAGTTCAAGGCCGGTTTGGCTTACTGGGCGAGTTCCACGACAGCCTCCAAAGCTACAGAGAAACCCTGTCTCGAAAAACCAAACCAACCAAACAAACAAAAAACCCCACAAATACACAAATATATAAAATACCTATAAAAATATATGTGTATATCCCGTGTTTGTCGCTAGATGGAGTAGTCCTTTGTCCTCTCCAGGAAAATACCTGTAGAGCTTTGAGCTTCCGGCACAGGGTCAAAAGGCAAGGTCAGAGGGCATAGACCTCTAAGCCAAGAGGAACCCTAGTGTCTCATCCAAAGACTACAGGAGCTGTGCCCGACTGCGCAGGCGCAAGGAGTCCATGGGCGCGGTGGGCGGCGGCAAGAGGCGATTGGCTGGATGCCGAGGCCCCGCCCCTCACCCACGTCAGCTACCCGGTTGGCTGGTTAGTCCGCAGGTTCGGGTCGTTCCGGCGCCGTTGGGTCCGGCGTGCTGCCAGCGGTTCGTCCTGCTCTTACGCTCGCTGGGGACGGAGCACTGTGAGTACGAGGGCGCGGGCGCGGGGTGAGCGCAACCGCGGCAGCGGTGTCTGCCGTCCGGCCCGAAGCCAGGTCTGCCTTGACAGCCGCGGGCAACTGTCCAGGACAGGCGAGGGCTTGAAGGGACCCGAGTCTCGGCCCGTAGTGTCGTCTCGGCTGCAAGGCAAAGCTGGGGGAGATGATACGCGACGGCGCCATTGGTGGGGTCGGTTTTGGCGCGCTCTGGCGTTCGCGCTTCCTATTGGCTGGCGCACGTCGCGTTGGGCGGGGCTGGAGCTCCCGGGAAGGTGTGTGACCGCTGAGTCTCAGGGACAGCGTGACTGGGGCCTGAGCTGGCTACCTCCGGCCAGCTCACAGGCAGCTGCAAATGCTGCTCCTGGGACAAGGGCATTGAGCCCTGCGTCTCCTATTCCAGGGATGCCGGTGTAGGTGACAGCGGGTTCTCCTCGGACCCTGTCCTATGCTCCCAATTAATGAATGATAACAGGATCTTGGGCCATTTTGGGAAACATTGCCCAAGCTTGGGCGTGGTAGCGCTCAATCTCCAGCACTCAGGAGGCTGAAGCCGGAGGTTCAGGAGTTCTAGGCCAACTTTGCCTATTTAGCCTTCTCAACAGAAAAGAAGAAACACATCTAGATTCCTTCGAGTGAGTTTCCGATAAGGTTTTATTAACATGAAGTAGAGTAGAAAATAGCAGAACTCCACACTGTGTGGGTGCTAGGACACAATGCAAAGTACTAATTACATGTAAGAGGGGAGTCGGTCTTGAGTTTGCTATGTAGCTGAGAATTTCCTTCAGTTCTGTTTCTCCTGCTTCCCAACCACGTGTGCCACTAGGCCTGGTTTATGCTGTACTAGGAATGCAGCCCAGCCTTTGAGCCTGCTGGTTATGCACTGTACCCACTGAGCTACATCCCCAGCCAGCCAAACTTTCTTGGAATTTTTTTTTTTTTTGAGACAGGATCTTGGCTATGTAGCCTAGGCTGATCTCCAACTTGATATGTTCCTATCTCTACCACCGCATTCCAGGATTGCAGTCATGTGCCACCATGACAGGCAGGATGGTATTCTTTAGGGTAGGTCTGAGTGTGCTTAAGTGTCTGTTTTGCTTTTCCTGGTGCCCCTTTCTCGGATCTTTTGAGATCTCCGTACAGGGCACCATGTACAGGGAACCATGTCATTCTATCAGATAGTGGTTCTATCATAAAGTAGTAATATTTTTGTGGTGTAAATAATTAAAAAATATCTGGACTCTACTTTCAGATACAAACCATACTGTTTTTAAATTGTTTGTATGTGTTGACAGCTGAGAAATGAATTCCAGTATGAAGCAGAAACAGGAAGGAGCTGGAGAGAATGTAAAGGTATGTAATGGGACCTCTTAAATGCGCTTGGATTTGTTTTAATTATGAAGCAAGGTCTTAAAACTGAGTAAATTGGGAGCGTGGGGGATAGGAGATAGAGTGAAAGAGGGGAGGGGAGGAGGGAAGGGGACTGAGAAAAATGTATAGCTCAATAAAAAATAAAAAAAATTTAAAGGCTAGAATCTTACTTTTTAGTATGTGAAATCATTTAAATAAAGTTTGACTTTTAAGAAAACTTGAAAAAAAAAGGTGAGGTCTTGCTGTGTTGGCCCAGGCTGGCCCCAAAGTGAAACCATTTCCTTAGCCCCAGAGTAAATTTAAATTCAGGATTCATTATCAGAAGTTGGAAATCTGAGTATACTCTTGACTGTATTTTGAAGGAGACAGTTTACAGAATATGAAACGAAATTTTCTGAAAAGGCTAAGATTTAAATATATGAGTGAAACTTGGAGTCTAGAAGTCTGTTATTCTGTTATGTGTATATAGAAAGGAATGTTACAGTAGTATACATTCCTTGGGCTATTTTTTCTAAAGCTTGCATGTGTAAAGTGTAAATCTTGGAAGTGGTCTTTCTAAGTATGTATATGACAGCAACTTAGTTGGCTTCTTTGACCATTATGGAGATCAAACATTTAGTTTTATTTTCTTCTGTTTAGAGACTTGATTAATCTGTAATCTAAATTATATCTGAAATGTTGTTGTAATATTTGTTCTCATGGTAGTTGGCATTTGTCCCTCAGTTAAACAGTGGGATATTAATCAACAGTAGAAACTTTACCGTGGGAAAGGTGAACTTTGTCATGTGAAGTACAGTAACTTTCTCACGCTGGTGTGGTGTCATGTTCTTGCTAACCTTGTTTGAGTATTCACTATTGTTTGCTATCCCATGGTGGCATTATAACTAATGTTTTTTTTAATAGAACTTACAAATCAGGAAATATATAGGGGCTATTTACATATTATACAGAAGACACATTTTTGTTTTTAGACAGTAGTTTGGGGATTTTAGAGGGTTATTTGGTGAGGGATTGTTTTGAGACAAGGTCTTACTATGTAGCTTTGGCTAGCCTGAAACTCAGAAATCCACCTGTCTCTGCCCCCTGAGTAGTGGTATTAAATGTGTGTGTCACCCTGGATGGCTTGTTTTTGTTGTTGTTGTTTGTTTTTCTAGTGTGACATTCACTAAGTAGACCTCAAGCTAGCCTTGAACTCAGAGAGCTCCACCTGCCTCTGTCTACCAGGTGCTGGGATTACAGGTTTGTGCTGCTACCTAGGCCAGAGTGTTTTAATTTGTCTAAAGCAGACATTTTATCAACGTCCTAGTGAATGGACTTGTAGCAAAACTGCTTCTGTTGTCAGATGATAGTTGAGGAGGGGTTATCCATTACATACTCATGCACTTGCTTCTACCTACAATGTGTTACTAAAAATTATATTCCTGGTGCAATGAGTAGTGGTACGAGCCTTTAGTTCCAGCACTCAGGAGGTAGAAGCAGGTGAATCTCTGTGAGTTCAAGGCCAGCCAGGGCTATATAGAAGACCCTGTCTTTAATAAATAAATAAGTAAAAATTATATTCCTGGGCCTGTGAGATGCTATAGCCAAGCTTGATGACCTGAATTCTGTATTAGGGTTTGTATTTCTGTGGTAAAACACCATAACTAAGCCAGGTGGTGGTGGTGTACATCTTTAATCCCAGCACTGAGGAGGCAGAGGAGGGCAGATCTCTGAATTGGAGGCCAGCCTGGTCTATAGAGTGAGTTCAAGGACATCCAGGGCTACACAGAGAAACCCTGTCTCAAAACAGCAAAATAGCAACAACAAAAACCGCTGTGACCAAAACCAACCTGGAGCGGGAGAGTTTACTTCAGCTTCCAGCTTGCAGGTCACAGTCCAACACTGAGGGAGGTCAGGACAGGAACGCAAGGCGGGAACTGAAGCCTAGGCCGTGGAGGAATGAGGCAATGGAGGAATGAGGCCGTGGAGGAATGAGGCCGTGGAGGAACTGAGGCCGTGGAGGGACTGAGGCCGTGGAGGAATGAGGCCGTGGAGGGAATGAGGCCGTGGAGGAATGAGGCCGTGGAAGAATGAGGCTGTGGAGGAATGAGGCCGTGGAGGGACTGAGGCCGTGGAGGGACTGAGGCCGTGGAGGGACTGAGGCCGTGGAGGGACTGAGGCCGTGGAGGAATGAGGCAATGGAGGAATGAGGCTGTGGAGGAATGAGGCCGTGGAGGGACTGAGGCCGTGGAGGGACTGAGGCCGTGGAGGAGTGAGGCCGTGGAGGGACTGAGGCCGTGGAGGGACTGAGGCCGTGGAGGGAATGAGGCCGTGGAGGAATGAGGCCGTGGAAGAATGAGGCCGTGGAGGGACTGAGGCCGTGGAGGGAATGAGGCCGTGGAGGAATGAGGCCGTGGAAGAATGAGGCTGTGGAGGAATGAGGCCGTGGAGGGACTGAGGCCGTGGAGGGAATGAGGCCGTGGAGGAATGAGGCCGGGGAGGAATGAGGCCGTGGAGGGACTGAGGCCGTGGAGGGACTGAGGCCGTGGAGGGACTGAGGCCGTGGAGGGACTGAGGCCGTGGAGGGAATGAGGCCGTGGAGGAATGAGGCCGTGGAAGAATGAGGCCGTGGAGGGACTGAGGCCGTGGAGGGAATGAGGCCGTGGAGGGACTGAGGCCGTGGAGGAATGAGGCCGTGGAGGGAATGAGGCCGTGGAGGGAATGAGGCCGTGGAGGAATGAGGCCGTGGAGGAATGAGGCCGTGGAGGGACTGAGGCCGTGGAGGGAATGAGGCCGGGGAGGAATGAGGCCGTGGAGGGACTCAGGCCGTGGAGGAATGAGGCCGTGGAGGAATGAGGCCGTGGAGGGACTCAGGCCGTGGAGGGAATGAGGCCGTGGAGGAATGCTCCTTACCTGCTTGCCTGCTCAGTCTGCTTTCTTATGTACCACAGTACAGCCGCGCAGGGGTGCACTGGCAGCAGCTGAATCCTTCACATCAGTTGTCAACAATGGCCCCATGCTTGTCTATTATAGGTCATTCTTTCATCAGCTGAGATTTCCTCTTACCAGATATGTCCTGGTTTTTGACAAAAACCAACCAGCAGTTTTTTTTTTCTCAAATGCCCAAAATGTTTGGAAATATTTAAACTTCTGAAACATTTTTGACTAGAGAAAAATATTTTGTGGAGGAACTAGCCTTTTCTCTCAGTGTTTACCTTTTTTTGTAAGAGTGTTTGTAATTTCCCAATTTGGAAGATGCTTTTTAAGGAATAGAGTTAGTTATTTTTTAATTGAAAGTTTGTCATACATCATTTGAACTATCAGTGCCACCACAGAAAGTATGTTATATGTGTTTTAACCAAATAAGATGGGTTGGCAGTGATTACAGCAAGAATATTTATCTGTGTGTGTCGGTTTGGGTGGTATGGTCTACCCATTTGTAACAATTTCTTCAAACTTTGTTATAATCTTGGGAAATAAGTTTGCTGGTTGATTAAGACAACATCTTATTCTGACACAGCATTGTAAGATAAATATCAGGCCAAATCTTGTGTTCTTAGTGTTTTTTTAATTCTCAAATTATAGTAGGACTAACTATTTAGAAATTTGGAAAGTAATCATGTACAATAACCAGATTTGAATCATCTTGACTTTTAGAACAGTCCTGTCCCAAGGAGAACGCTGAAGATGATTCAGCCTTCTGCAGCTGGATCTCTTGTTGGCAGAGAAAATGAGGTAAGTGTACAGGGCTAGAATGGGGAGATGGTCAGTCAGCATTAAACATTTCCTAGATTTTCTTAAATACTAATTTGTTTTAGTTGTAACTAAACTTTAGTTCAATCCTAACCAAAATAGTTGCTGCAAATAGAATTCCTAAAACAATATTACACATTCTGGTAGTTTTTAAAATTACATTTATGGGCTGAAGAGATAGCTCTGTGGCTGAGAGCACATACCACTCTTCCAGAGGACCTGAGTTCAGTTCCCAGTACCCATGTCAGGCAGCTCATAAATACCTGTAACTCTTACTTAAAGGGATGGGACACCCTTTTCTGGCCAAAGACTGTACTCAGATCCATAAACCCACACACAGACATAAAAATGTAATTACAAATAAAGCCTAAAAAGCAAGACAACTGTTTATTTTGTGTGCACCATGTGGGTATGTATGTGTTTGCGTGGACTTTGGAGCATGTAAGTGCCATGGTACACAATTGAAGTCATAGGATAGCTTTCAGGAATCTGTTTCTGTCACTGTATAGGTCCCAGTGATTTAATGCCGTTTGTTAGTGTTAGCAGCAAATACCTTTATTTGATAAACCATCTCACCAGCCCTGTTTTGGTAGTTTTGATTTGTATAACTTAAAAAAAAGTTCTTAAATACATAAATAACTGAGCAGTGTAGCTTTCTTGTTCATCATATCTAAGTAAATAAGCTTTTCCATCACAGTCGCCAAAAGGCTTGTCCAAAAGGAAGCTTTGGAATGACCAGTTAACATCTAAGACTTCAAGTTCTGGTCCAGATGCCAGTGAAAATAAAGATGTTGGAGATATCACCCAGGAAGCATTTGATCTTATGATTAAAGGTATGAAAAAAGCAAAATGACTTGTCTTGAAAGTTTAAATTTTGATGAAGGTGAATTATTTGGTGGGGTTACTGTTTGATAATTTAAAATTTTGTATTATAAATAGGCAAATATTCTAAATTTGGACACATGGAACCATTTGTTTGGCAAGACCCCAGTGTGGGTGAAATTAAGTGACTAAATTGGTATCTGTGATAGTAAATTGCATTGGGTTTTTACAAGACTTGGAAATGGGCTTTTCAGAAGAAAAGTGGTAATAGAGAAAGTATTTGAATATTTCAAGAGAACACAAAGTGATAGGGCTAATAGGAGCATCGCTGGGTAAAGAGGGATAAAGGTGAATGAGAAATACACTTTTGTTGTTTTGGAGACAGGGTTTCTCTGTATAGCCCTGGCTGTCCTAGAACTCACTCCAGCTGATCTTGAACTCAGAGATCCGCCTGCCTCTGCCTCCCTAGTGCTAGGATTAAAGGTGTGTACTACTACCTCCTGTCTGAAATACACTTTCAATAAGTGTTAGCTTTTAATGGAGGAGTAGTAGAAATCAGACAAGAAAACTGATGTTTTATATTGTGAGACAGTCTCACTCTGCAGCCCAGACTGTCCTAGGACTCACCTGGCTCATGGGTCAGTGGTCATGAGAAATTAGAGCCTAGAGAAGTTCATTGGCTTGTTCAAGGTCACAGTGTCAGGAATGTTTGGGTTTGTGGTGAGTTGCCTGGGTGTTGTAAGGAAGTTTAGAAGCAGAAAATACTTTTACAGGACAAAATCACAAATGGTTGGTCTACTGGATAGCGCCACAACAGCTTTGTAGTGCTTATGAAATAGGACTTGTAATGTATACCTGATTAGGTTAAAATCGGTTGAAGGTTACTTCTATACACATATCAGAAATATTGCTTGTACAGTCAATCGGTGATCATAGACATTCTTAGTCATAGAGAGTACCAATATAACTGTGACTTGAGACTTCAGTGGGATATATCATTAGAATTAAAAATTGCACATAGAGTGCCTGAATTTTGTTAAATCTGTTGTTGGTACGGCAATGGTGTAATCTTGAAAAGAAAAATCTTTTATATATTTTAGGATGGAGCAAATGAATAATATGTTGGTGTTAGGAAGCAAGTTCTTTTTTCTCCTTTTATTTTTAAATTAGAAACAAGGTTGCTTCACATGTCAATCCCAGCTCCCTCTCCCTCCTCCCACGCCTTCCCACCAACACCCCCATCCCCCTCCCCCAATCCCCACTCTTTTCCCTAGGGAGGGTGAGGCCCTCCATGGGGGGTGTCCATAGTCTGTCATTTCATCCAAGGCAGGTCCTAGGCCCTCCCCCAAGAGTCCAGGCTGAGAGAGCATCTCTCATTGTGGGATGGGCACCCAAAGTCCATTTGTATGCCAGGGATAAATACTGATCTACTACCCAAGGCCCCATAGATGCCTAGGCTTCCTCACTGATACCCATCCATATTCAGGGGGTCTTGATCAGTCCCATGCTGGATTCCCAGCCATCAGTCTGGGCTTCAAGAGCTCCCCCTTGTTCAGTTCAGCTATTTCTGTGGGTAAAACAAGTCCTGTCTTGACCCCTATGCTCATCAGTCCTCCCTCTCTGTCACTGGGTTCCTTGAGTTCAGCTCAGTGTTTAGCTGTGGGAGTCTGTCTCTGCTTCCATCAGTCATTGGTTAAAGGTTCTGTTTCCCAGACTCTCTGTCAGTGGGATTGTAGGCTAGCACTCCCCTGATGCACATCTAAAATCCATATATGACTGAGTACATACCACGTTTGTCTTTTTGTGACTGGGTTACCTCACTCAGGATAGTTTCTTCTAGTGCCATCCATTTGCCTGCAAATTTCAAGATTCCATTTTTTTTCCTGCTGAATAGTACTCCATTGTGTAAATGTACCACATTTTCTCTATCCACTCTTTAGTTGAGGGGCATCTAGGTTGCTTCCAGGTTCTGGCTATTACCAGTAATCCTGCTATGAACATAGTGTAACAGACATCCTTGTTGTATGAATATGCATCTTTTGGGTATATGCCTAAGAGTGGAATTGCTGGGTCTTGTGGTAGACTGATTCCCATTTTCCTGAGGAATCTCTATACTGATTTCCAAAGTGGTTGTATGAGTTGGCATTCCCACCAGCAGTGGAAGAGTGTTCCCCTTTCTCCACATTGTCATTGGTGTTTTTGATTTTAGCCAGTCTGACAGGAGTAAGATGGTATCTCAGAGTTGTTTTGATATGCATTTCCCTGATGGCTAGGGATATTGAACACTTTCTTAAAGTGCCTTTCAGCCATTTTAGACTCTTCTATTGAGAATTCTCTATTCAGTTCTGTAGTCCACTTTTTAATTGGATCCTTTGGTGTTTTGGAGACTTGCTTCTTGAGTTCTTTGTAAATTTTGGAGATCAGCCCTCTGTCAGATGTGGGGTTAGTGAATATCTTTTCCCATTCTGTGGGCTGCCTTTTTGTCTTGTTGACTGTGTCCTTTGCCTTACAGAAGCTTCTCAGTTTCAGGAGGTCCCATGTATTAATTGTTGACCTCAGTGTCTGTGCTATTGGTATTATGTTCAGGAAGCTGTCTCCTGTACCAATTCATTCAAGGGTACTTCCCACTTTCTTTTCTAAGAGGTTCAGTGTGGCTGGATTTATGTTGAGGTCTTTGATCCAGTTGAACTTAAGTTTTGTACATGGCGGCTATAGATGGATCTATCCACATTCTTCTACATTCAGCATCCATTATGCCAGCACCATTTGTTGAAGATGCTTTCTTTTTTCCATTGTGTATTTTTTTAGCTTCTTTGTTGAAGATCAGATTCATTCGTGTATGGTTTAATATTGGGGTGTTCAATTCAATTCCATTCGTCTACCTGTCTATTTTTGTGCCAATACCAAGCTGTTTTCAGGACTGTAGCTCTATAATAGAGCTTGAAATCAGGGATGGTGAGTCTCCAGACGTTGCTTTGTTGAATAGGGCTGTTTTAGCTATACTGGGTCTCTTGTTTTTCCATGTAAAGTTGATTATATGTGAAGAATTGTGCTGGGATTTTAATGGGGATTGCATTGAATCTGTAGATTGCTTTTGGCAAGATTGCCGTTTTTACTATGTTAATCCTACCTATCCAAGAGCATGGGAGGGAGATCTTTCCATTTTTCTGGTGTCTTCTTTAGTTTCTTTTTTTAAAGACTCAAAGTTCTTTCAGTACAGGTCTTTCACTTGTTTGTTTAGCATCACTCCAAGGCATTTTATGTTGTTTGTGGCTATTGTAAAGGGTGATGTTTCTGATTTCTTTCTCAACCCTCTTATCGTCTGTATATATCATCTATATATAGTATATATAGTAGGGCTACTGATTTTCTTGAGTTGATCTTGTGTCCTGCCACTTTGCTGAAAGTATTTATCAGCTTTAGGAGTTCCCTGGTAGAGTTTTTTTGGGTCATTTATGTAAACTATCATATCATCTGCAAATAGTGAAAGTTTGACCTCTTCCTTTCCAATTTGTATCCCCTTGATCTCCTTTTGTTGTTGTATTGTTGTAGCGAGAACTTCAGATACAATATTGAAGAGATATAGAGAGAGTGGACAGCCTTGTCTTGTTCCTGATTTTAAAGAAATCACATTGAGTTTCTGTCCATTTAGTTTGATGTTGGCTGTTGGTTTGCTGTATATAGCTTTTATTATGTTTAGGTATGTTCCTGTTACCCCAGATCTCTCCAAGACCTTTATCATGAAGGAGTGTTGGATTTTGTTAAAGGCCTTTTCAGCATCTAGTGAGATGATCATGTGATTTTGTTTCTCAGCTTGTTTATATGGTGGATTACATTGATGTTGAACCATCCCTGCATCCCTGGGATGAAACCTATTTGATCATGATGGATGATTGTTTTGATGTGTTTTTGGATCCGATTTGCCAATATTTTATTGAGTATTTTTGCATTAATGTTCATGAGGGATATTTGTCTGAAGTTCTCTTTTTTTTAGTTGTGTCTGTGTGGCTTGGGTATTAAGGTTATTGAAGTCTCGTAGAAAGAGTTTGGCAAAGACCCTTCTGCTTCTAATGCGTGGAATACTTTGAGAAGAATTGGTATAAGCTGTTCTTTGAATTTCTGGTAGAATTCTGCACTGAGGCCATGTGGACCTGGACTTTTTTTGGTTGGGAGACTTTTGATGACTGATTCTATTTCCATAGGGGTTATAGGTTTATTTAAATTGCTTATCTGTTCTTGATTTAATTTTGGCAAGTGATAGTTATCCAGAAAATTGTCCATTTCCTTTAAATTTTTGAATTTTGTGGAGTACAGGTTTTCAAAGTATGACCTGATGATTCTCTGGATTTCTTCAGTGTCTGTTGTTATGTGCCCCTTTTCATTTCTGATTTTGTTAATTTGCATGTTCACACTCTACCGTGTGGTAAGTTTGAATAAAGGTTTGTCTATCTTGTTGATTTTCTCAAAGAACCAACTCTTTGTTACATTGCTTCATTGTATTGTTTTCCTGGTTTCTACTTTATTGATTTCAGCCCTCAGTTTGATTATTTATTTCCTGGCTTCTGCTTCTCCTGGGTGAGTTTGCTTCTTTGTGCTCTAGAGTTTTCAGCTGTGCTGTTAATTCTCTAGTGTAACTATCCTACAGGTTATTCGTGTGGGCACTTAGTGCTATGATATGAACTTCCCTCTTAGCACTGCTTTCAAAGTGTCCCATAAGTTTGAGTATGTTGTGTCTGCATTCTCATTGAATTCTAGGAAGTCTTTACTTTCTTTTTTTATTTCTTCTTTGACCCAAGAATGGTGCAATTCCGCATTATTAAATCTCCATGAGTTTGTAGGGTTTCTGCAATTTGTGTTGTTGTTGAATTCTAATTTTAATGCATGGTGGTCTGATAAGAAGCAATTCCAATTTTTTGTACCTGTTGAGGTTTGCTATGTTGCCAAGTATGTGGTCAAAGAAGGTTCCATGTGGCGCTGAGAAGAAGGTATATTTTTTATTTCGATAGAATGTTCTGTAGATGTCTGTTAAACCCAATTGGGTAATAACTTCTATTAGTTCCTTTGCTTCTTTGTTAAGTTTCTGTCTGGTAGTCTAGTGGTGAGAGTGGGGTGTTGAAGTCTCCTACTATAAGCGTGTGGGGCTTTATATGTGATTTGAGTTTTAGTAATGTTTCTTTTACGAACGTGGATGCCTTTGTATTTGGGGCATAGATGATCAGAATTGAAACTTCATCTTGGTGGATTTTTCCTGTGATGAATATGAAATGACCTCCTTCATCTCTTTTGATTGATTTTATTTTAAAGTCTAATTTGTTAGATATTAGGATTGCTACCCCGCTTGTTTCTTGGGTTCATTTGATTGGAAAATCTTTTCCTAACCCTTAACTCTGAGGTAATGTCTGTCTTTGAGATTGAGGTGTGTTTCGTGTATGCAGCAGAAGAATGGGTTCTGTCTTCGAATCCCTTCTGTTCGCCTGTGTCTTTTTATGGGCGAGTTAAGACCATTAATATTGAGGGATATTAATGATCATTGATTGCTCATTCTTGTTTTGGAATGGTTGGTGTTCGTGGAATTTTATGTGGATTTCTACCCCTTTTGTCTTTTGGCTGTTGGTAAGGTGAGATTATCTGCTTGCCTGTGTTTTTCTGGTTGTAGTTAACTTCCTTGGGTTGGAGTTTTCCTTCCAAAACTTTCTGTAGGGCTGGGTTAGTAGATATGTATGGTTTGAATCTGGTTTTGTCATGGAATATCTTGTTTTCTCCATCTATATTGATTGAGAGCTTTGCTGGGTATAGTAGTCTGGGCTGGCATCCGTGGTCTCTTAGTGTTGGTAGAATATCTATCCAGGACCTTCTGGCTTCCAGAGTTTCCATGGAGAAGTCAGGTGTAATTCTGAGAGATTTGCCTTTATACGTTGCTTGACCTTTTTCCTTAGCTGCTCTTAATATTCTTTCTTTATTCTGTATGTCTGGGGTCATGATTATTATGTGGTGAGGGGACCTTTTTTTGTGGTCCACTCTATTTGGTGTTCTTCATTGGCATGTGTTTCTTTAGGTTGGGAAAGTTTTCTTCTATGATTTTGTTGAATATGTTTTCTGCTCCTTTGAGGTGGTTTTCTTCACCTTTTTCTATACCTATTATTCTTAGGTTTGGTCTTTTCATGGTGTCCCATATTTCCTGGGTATTTTGTTTTAGGGGTTTGTTGGACTTAAGATTTTCTTTGGTCGATGAATCTATTTCTCCTAGTGTATCTTCATTGCCTGAGATTCTCTCTTCCATCTCTTGTATTCTGCTGGTTATGCTTGCATCTGTAGTACCTGACCGTTTGCCCAGCTTTTCTATTTCCAGCATTCCCTCAGACAGTGTTTTTTTTTTTTATTATTGTTTGTATTTAAGTTTTCAGCCCTGGCACTGTTTGAATTGTTTCTTGTAGTTTTTGCTTTGTCTTTTCCTCCATTTGTTGTATTTTTTGGTTTGTTTTTTCTTCCATTTTTTTTTTTTTTTGCATTTTTTGGTTTGTTTTTTCTTCCATTTCTTGCATTTTTTTTGTTTGTTTTTTGGTTTGTTTCTATTTCTTTAAGGGATTTTCTCATATACTCTTTGAGGGCCTCTATCATTTTCATGAAGTTATCTTTAAGGTCATTTTCTTCTGCTTCATTTGCATTGGAATGCTAGAATCTTGCTGGCATAGAATCTCTAGAATCTGGCAGTGTCATATTTGTTTTTCTGTTACTGAGTATGTTTTTGTATTGTCTCCTTCCCATCCCTTCTTCTAGTGGGTGCAGAAAGATCCTCTTCCTGGCCTGGTGATTAGGGGACCAGAGTTCTCTTTTGGTGGGTGCAAGCAAGTCCAGTACTCTGGTAGTTCTCCTCCTACTGGTCCCTGGAAGACCAGGAATCCTTGGGTGTGTAGGCTCCCACCTGGAGGGGAAACTCAGTGGCGGTCTCCAGGCACTTGAACGAGGGCCCAGAAATAGACCCCAAATTGCCTGGTCTCCTGGTGGAGAAGAAGACCAGGAATTTGGGGTGTGTAGGCTCCTGCCGGGAGGGGAGGCTCAGTGGCAGTCTCCATGCACTGGAAAGGGGCTCAGAAACAGACCTCGAATTGCCTGGTCCTGTTGTTGAAGACCAGGAAACTGGGGTGGGTAGGCTTCCTACGGGAGGGGAGGCTCAGTAGGAGGCAAGTTCTTAATAGGGTGAATGGAAGTACAGATGTGCAATGGAGAAGGAAAGAATGAATTGTTGAATTGGTTGAAAATATTAGTATAAATTGATTATTAAAAACTCCCTCCATCAAAAGCAAGAAACACAGCAGATATCCAGTTCTTGGTGTGTAAACACTATTCTGCATTGAAGCTCTTGAGGAAATGGCTGACTCCAGCTTTCCAGTATCCAGGATGCTGTAGAGTGATCCTCATGTCTCATATCAGAAAATAAGCAAAAGTGTTGGACATGTTTAAGGAACAGACTCTGTTTGAAGAGATTCATACTGATGGAATGTGTGAAAATTTCAGCGTCAAAATGAATAGTGGCAAGAATGGCTGGGCAGGGTGGCACACACTTGTAATGCATGTTCTTCAAAGGTTAAGGTAGGAGGATCACTTCAAAGTTATTCTCAGCTGTTTACCAAGTTCAAGGCCAGCCTGGGATACACGTCTCAAAATAAAAACGATGAAAAGTCATAGAATTACTACTCTTGGTACAGTGAATAGAAAAGAGCATGTGAACTGTAATGATAAATTAAGAGAAAACGGAATAGGGAAAATTCCTTTCAAAATCACATCCACTGAGTGTCAAAGAAGATTTAGGTAAGAATCACCAGTAGACTTAAAAAATTGGTTGGAGAACAGATTAACAAACTCAAATTTTACTCCGTAGATCTCTTATTATTTACCAAGGAAAACAAATCTTTACAAGCGAGAAATTTAGTATATGGCAGCCAAATCAAATGATCAAATTTTATATTCAATATTGTAACAGATTGGTGTGTACTGCCTGATAATACACTGAAGATACAATGCATTTATGCAATATTCCTACCAAAATGTTGAGCTTGAAACAAATTTAAAATTAAGAACTATATGCAAATTAACTAGTCCAGGCTTCTCAAAAGTAACAATATTTAGGCTGAGAGTATATATATATAGCTCAATGGTTGTCCCCCATAAAGGTCAAATAAAAATGCATAAGCACAAAACAAATCTTGTAAAATGTTAAAACAGTGTAGGTAATACATATGCATTTATTTTCCTTCTGTTGCAATACTTTTTAAGGATTGAGAACTTTGGTATGTTGGGAAAAAATAAAAAGTAGATTGGAAAATTTTCAGTAGAAAAAAAATCCTGAGGTTTTTTTTCTTTTGGTTTTTCGAGGCAGGGTTTCTCTGTGTTGTTTTGGAGGCTGTCCAGGAACTAGCTCTTGAAGACCAGGCTGGCCTCGAACTCACAGAGATCCGCCTGCGTCTGCCTCCCGAGTGCTGGGATTAAAGGTGTGCGCCACCAACGCCCGGCTAATTACTGAGGTTTTTATAGCAAAAGTTTTGTTTTTGAAATAAGGACTTGCTATGCAGTCTAGGCTGGCCTCAGGGTTTTAGCACTGATTTTTAAAGTTATGTAAAACACTGATTTATTCCAGAAAACCCATCTTCTCAGTACTGGAAAGAAGTGGCAGAAAAACGGAGGAAAGCTCTCTATGAAGCACTTAAAGAAAACGAGAAAGTATGTATTGAATCCTTACTATTTACAGGGTTGGGGTAGTGGTCCTTCTCATTTCATCATAGTCGGACTGGTGTAGACTAGCTTGAATGTTGGCCTAATGGAAGCTTGACTATATGAGCAAAATGATCCTGCTGTGTTAGTTACTGCATGGGTTTGTCAATGATCTGCTTGGAGAATTCAGAGCAGATTTGTGGAATACTGAACTTTATTTTTTTATATAGCTTCATAAAGAAATTGAACAGAAGGACAGTGAAATTGCCCGCCTGAAAAAGGAGAATAAAGAGTTGGCAGAAGTAGCAGAACATGTACAGTACATGGCAGAGGTAATTGAGGTAGGTAATTCCTTATTCATCGGGTTCAGAGTCATCGAGGCAGTGTTGTGGTCAGTGAGTGTTCAGCCCTGTAATGAGATGCCCAGCATCATTGAGTTTCTTGGATAGAGCGGCTTATTTATCCTACCAGGGATTTATTTTCCTTACCTATAAAATGGTAGTAATAAGCCCACATCTGAAAAAGATGAGAAAAGTTACTCTGTTGCATAGTTGACACATTTCTAGGTTCTAGTTTCATAAGGATGTTATCAACTATCATTTGTAAAACAAATAGTCTTTATTTGACTTTAAATTTGGGAAGTAGCTAATGTGTTTCAAAGAGTCAGCCTGATTAATGCTTTCAGCTTGTTTTGTATTTATAAAGCAAATCATCTTACCAATGGGAGGAAAGCTTTTCAAATCAAATCTTCTCAGATTAAATTACTTCCTTAACATTTTAGCGCCATGACAGTGTTGTTTTACTATTTTTAATTATGGGTAAGTATGGCCTGGAGCTAGAGTTCCAGGCACCTGATGTGGGTGCTGGAAATAGAACTCTGGTCCTCTGGAGGAACAGTGCAAGTGCAGGCCCTTAACCACTGAGTCATCTCTCCAGCCCTGCCATGACAAAGTTTGAAGTACTTAATTATCCCCCTCTGTTGACTTTTAAAATGTGGTCCCCAGCTGGCTGGAGAGTAGGGACACAGGGTCTGTGGTTTCCTAGAGAAGTAACAATTTAAGTTGTGCTTTGGAAGCCTCTCAGTCATGGCATTAAAAAAACCCAGCAAATTACTAACTGGATTTTGCTGAAATATGATGTAGCACTGTATAGACTTCGATAGAACATTGTAAGTGAATTTATTGGAGGTATTATAACATTGGTGGGTTGCCTTGTCAGTATACTGAGTAATAGTGGATTTCAGTTTCAAGATCTTTACAATAAATTGTTGGTTTATTCCTTAAAAGAGGCTGAGTCATGAACCTCTGGATAGCTTCGAATCACCGGATAGTCAGGAATTTGATTCCGAATTGGAAACTGTTGAGGATTCTGAAGTGGAAGACTCAGAGACTGGCACATGCATTGAAGAGACTGTGTCTTCCTCCACCGATGCCAAACCATGTACATGAATGTGAGGTACATCGCCAGCTTTGCCCTGCCCTATAGCTCCTGGTAAATTAACTACAAGATCCAAGTGCTGGAATCCAGGTTTGAATCCTGGGGGCTATTACCACATTAAAATACAGAGAGTATGTATTTTTAATCTGTTTTATGTAAATAGCATTTTCATTTTCTCAGTGTCAGATGTGACTTGTGTATATTAAATAAACTTCAATTTCTTATTGAATATGGTCTATCTTTGAGAATTCAGTGTATCCAGTTTGTAGAAAATGCATCTTTTTCTATAGTATTTTATTATTTCACTGTTGTGGGAGTGGGAAATGACAGCTGGAGCTGATATCTGTTGATCTGATCTCAGGATCCCTGTGAGCACTAGTGATTTTCATGTTTGCATATTCTCACTCAGTAGTATTTTTTGAGTGAGGCATCTACTTTCCTAAAGCTTCCCCGAGTGAATTTAATTAGCCAGGTAAAGGCTCATCTAATTGGTGTGGTCATATTACTTTTGAATGTTCCAAGCAAAGGTAGAGGGTGCTAGGGATAGTCCTCAGAAGCAAAGCCGAGAGACGCAAGTGCAGTGAGAAACACAAGGGTAGCTGAAGTTAGGAAACCATATGCAAAGTGTGCAATTATCAAAGGACAAGAGACATTGCTAGTGAAGCCGGCCTCTTCCCTGCGGCTGAGCGGGATGGTGAGTGTCGATGACTCTGACCCTCCCCCCATTAGTTACCAGGGAGAAAAAAAACCACATTGAGTGGGGAGTCTGTCAAAGCAGGATCTCGATTTATTCCAACACACAGGAACTTATATAGGACTGAGGTAGGGGATGGCAATCTTGGGATAGGGTAAGGTGATCTGAGGAGTTAAGGGACAATAGTATTCCCCCAAGCAGGCAGGTAGCTAGGCAGGGGGCAATCTTGCATCAGGTCTGTCTAAATCACCCCCACAGGGAGGTTACAGGTTAGAGACAGGTCGCCAAACTCTAGCCAGGCTCAGGAGATTACACTGGGCCTCGCATCCAAGCCTTTCTTAGGCCCAACAGCATGCAGCACATGTTCTCATGGGTAAGTGTTTTTGTGTAACTTGACAACAAAGAACATTACCAACCTTTCCTTTTGTTACCCTTACTTGTGTGTGTGAATGCCAGAGGTCAGTTTATGAGAGTCCTTCCACCAGGGATGGGTTGCCAGGCTCGGCAGCAAGAGTCTGCCTGTTGAACCATGTCATGAGCGCTAACACTGACCTTTAAAGGATTATTTTAGGTACATTTTCTTAGAGAACTTTAATTTTTCTGTCTCCAATATTGAGGAAAAGCCTGTCTTAGTATTCTGTGATGCAAAGACTACTGTGTCTGGACTAAGTGCTTAAAAAAGGAACTTGTTATTGGTTGGAGATGTAACTCTGAGTTTGGCGTGCACACAGCCCTGGTTTATCCCCAGCTGCACAAACCACGTGTGGTGGTGCACATTTGTAATTCCAGTGTTCTGGGAGGTGGAGGCGGGAGGATGGAAGTTCAGGGTCCTCTGCTACATAATGAATTCAAGGCCAGCCTGGGCTACATGAGACCCTGCTGCAAAACAAACATGTCAGGGAGATGACTCAGTGGGTAGGAGCACTAGCTGTGAGGGCCCATGAACCTGAGTTTCATCCCTTGAGACTCCATTGCAGGGGGGGGAGGGCCACCGCCCCCACACATATACACTTTTTTTTTTAAGATAAGGTTTCTCTGTGTAGCTCTGGCTGTCCTGGAACTCTCCATATAGAGCAGGCTGGCCTTGGACTTGGATCCACCTACTTCTGCCACCATCTCTCAGTAGTCACTAGCAAATATGCCAAGCACATGAATGGTCCGAGGATCTTTTCGGAGTTGGTTGTCATTTCTGCTGCTCTGCATACCCCAGGCTAGATGGCTTGTGCTTTGGAATATTTGCCATACTCAAATAAATAATATTTTAAAAATGAAATGAAGATATTACTAATAACTTTGTCCATTGGACCTTGGAGATGATGGTGATACACCTGTGTTGTACAATGAAGGAGCCATTAGTTCAGCATTCAAAATGGGATTAGTGTGAATAGAAAACAAAATTTATGTGTTTTATAAACTACTCAAGGCTAGTGGCTACTGAGAGATGGTGGCTATGCATGACTTGGAGTTGGGATACTAGCTTGAAGATTGTACTAGAGAATTGGCAAATTAATTTTTAAACAGTTTTGGGATAGGGTAAGGGGGAGAATCTGGTAGTATTTTCATAATTAGAAGAGTGGAAAGTGGAGCTGTGTGGTTTAGGTTAGTTATAGAAGATAATAGGTTTCAGGGTAATGTTTTATACATGCTGTGGTCTTATCCCTTTCCACATTTCCGCCTGTCCCCTTTTTGTTGATCTCCCCCACCATTCACCCTTTCAAATAGTTCTGCTTTCATGTCACAGAACTTTTAATGTAATATGATAATAACTCTTAGGACAATGTCAGAGCAGGAGGGATTTCTAAAAGAAAATGAAACATTATTTGTAATAGACGGAACCTGGAAGCAACCTAGATGTCGCTCAACCTAAGAAAAATGTGGTACATTTACACAATGGAGTACTACTCAGTATAAAAAAACCAACAAAATCTTGAAATTTGCAGGCAAATGGATGGAACTAGAAGAAACCATCCTGAATGAGGTATACTCATAAGTGGATATTAGACATAGAGCAAAGGATTACCAGCCTACAATCCACAACCCCAGAGAAGCTAGGAAACAAGGAGGATCCTAAGAGAGACATACATGGTCCCCCGGAGAAGGGGAAGGAGACAAGATCTGAGCAAATTGGGAGCATGGATGGTGGTGGTGGGGGGTGGTGGTAGGAGAAAGAGAAGGGGAGGAGGAGAACATGAAAGATCAGGAAGATTGAGTTGGGGAAGAATAGAGAAGGAGAGCAAGAAAAAAGATACCTTAATAGAGGGAGTCATTATAGGCTTAAAGAAATCTGGCACTAGGGAAATGTCCAGGGATCCACAACGATGACCCCAACTAAGAATCTAAGCGATAGCAGAGAGGCTATCTTAAATGCCCATCCACTATAATGAGATTGATGACTACTTTAATGTCATCCTAGAGCCTTCACCCAGTAGCAGAAGCAGAGATTCATAGCTAAGCACTGAGCTGAACTCCTGGAATCCAGTTGTAGAGAGGGAGGAGAGATGAGCAAAGGGGTTAAGACCATGCTGGGGAAACCCACAGAAACAGCAGACCTAAGAAGTGGGAACTCAAGAGACTCCAGTCTGACAGCTGGGGAAACCAGCATAGGACCTAACCAGGGTTCTGAAAGTGGTTGTCAGTTGTGAGGCCCAGGCAGACTGTGGAGCCAGTATTTATCCCTGGACTTTTGGGGGGCCATTCCCTATGGAGGGATACTCTCTCAGCCTAGATACATGGGGGAAGGCCTAGGCTCCAAATGATGTGAGAGACTGACGATCCCCCATGGAAGGCCTCACCTTCCGTGGGGAGTAGCTGGAGGGTGGAATGGAGGGTTGATGGGGAGCATGGGAGGATGGAAGGGAGAGGGAACTGGGATTGGTATGTAAAGTAAGATTGTTTCTAACTTAAACAAAAATTTATAAAAGAAAAGAAAATGAAAAAGCCATAACAATATTTAGGTTTGCAAAGGTTTCTGATACAGTAAACAAAGAGCTGAAGTTTTGTCGTCAATAGGCTTGTAAAAAGTAGAACCTTCTCTGTGGAAAAACAGGGAAAGGACACAGCTTCTCTAATGTTTTTCTCCATCTGCATAAGATTCTTGTAAGACTCAGGCCTATGTTGCCACTCTTGGAGAGCTTGACTGGCAGTCAGTACACTTTAGGCAAACAAACAAACAAACAGCAGCAGCAACAACAACAAAACCCAACAGCAACAACAACAACAAAAACCTCAAAGGTCTCTCGACTTAGGGTTTTATCTGATAAATCACAGGTCAAGGAACTGCAAGGAATTATAACCAACAGAGCACGTGGGTCCTCTGGAGAGGATAATGGGTCCTTATGGATGCACACAGGCCTGATTACCCAGCAGGATTAAGACTTCCTGCTAGGCAATGGTGGTGCACACCTTTAATCCTGGTTAGGACTACACAGAGAAACCCTGTGTCAAAAAACCAAGAGAAAAAAATTACATTTTCCCCACAGTATTTATTTTCAGTTCAAACTTATATCACTTTGATTTAAGATCAAGTTGCTATTACATGGTTTGATACTCAAAGAAGAATTTGTTCAATAATGTTACTAACATTTCCAGGTAACTTGTTAGCAATGCCCACAAATGTCTGGGATACCTACTGTGGTGTTTGCACTTTTGGAGGGCTTGTTTCCTTTGGAATGGGGATTCCTAGGTGATGCAGGGGTAGATTTCCTTATGGAGGCTTGCTTTGTCCTTAGTAATATTATCTCAGCTTCTTTCCCTGTTACTGTGACAAAATTCTCTGGCAAAGGCAATTTATTTATTTTCAAATTTAATTTTACTTTATGTGCGTTGGTGTTTTGCCTGCATGTATATCTGTTTAAGGGTGTCAGATCTGGAACAGGAGTTACAGACAGTTGTGAGCTGCTATGTGGGTGCTGGGAATTGAACACCCTGGAAGATCAGCCAGTGCTCTTAACCACTGAGCCATCTCTCCAGCTCAGCAAAGGTGATTTAATAAAGGAAGTTTATTCTGGCTGACATTTCAGGGACAATGCTTCAAGGACAAGATGGGGAAGTCAGGCTTGTAGGAGCTTGTGGCAGACTTCAGAAAGCAGAATATTGGATACCTGTTGCTGCTCAGCTTTCTTTAACTTGAGGATCCCATCCAAGGAAAGGTACCATCCCCAGTATACCTGTCTTACTGCCACAACAGAGCTCAGGTAATCACCCCCAGGTTTGCCCAGAAGCCCATTTCCTAGGTGATTGCATGTCTGTGTATCTACAAGGTAGCATGCTTACCCATTCATGCAGTTTGAATCATCAGTGTTTGGCTTGTAGCAGTATGTCACCCAGTGAACCTCAAACTCCACCTATCATATGTGACCCATGGGAATGACATATAGCTAACTGGATAATAGCAAGGTTGAGGTGGAGCCTGGGTGCAGGCACCTCAGAACAGTGTGCTAGCTATAGCTTAGCAGCAGAAGAAATAGCATGTAGCATGATGGTGATGGGAGAGAAGCCAGGTGAATTAGATGGCTGTGCAATAGTTTGTGACAACA